AAATAACTCTTCTCCTCGTTTGAGACGCAATGTGGGCTATGCTCAGACAGAATACAAACTACTTTTTGTTAAAATAATTGATAACATATCTTCAGAAATTAATGGCCGATATTCTGAAATTTTCAAATTAAAATTATTCCAATTGTTCAACAACAAACTATTCGAAAAATATTGGTCAGATTTTCCTTTAGAAGCACTGGATTCATTATTTGAAAATTACGCAATCCATTTTGATAAACAAACATTGAAAAACCAATTGATTTTTTTGTATTCCTCCCTTGAATTAAAAGACCGCAATGTTTTCGAACTCATTGACTTTATAAACGAAAATAGTCTTGAAGAGGCCTTTCCCCAGCATTTAATGTTAGCTTATCTTGTCGTAACTATTCCAGCCACAAGTTCCTCAGCGGAACATGCTTTCTCATCTCTGAAGCGCATCCATACTTATTTGAGAAATACACAAGGTCAAGAGCGTCTTTCAGATTTATCAATTATTGCAATTGAAAAACAGTTATTGGTACAATTAAAACGTTCACCAACATTTTACGCGGAAGTAATCAAATATTTCCTTAAGAAAGAGAGACCATCTTGTTTGGGCTCATTTGTAAGGGCTCAAGTAGACTTTTTTATTGGATATGGTGACAAAAGAGCACACAGTCCACCTGATGGTAAGTGGTTGCTGTGGCCCATACACATCTACATCTATCCTCGTTTGCGAATCAAAATGCAGATGCATTGTCACCCGTGAGGAATAAGATGGAATGCCTCTTTTCCAGTAAAAAGGGTCTCCGGTTCTCTACACTCACCATACGAAACACAGCAGTGTTAAGCTGCTATTTTACGCTGGTATTCTGTGAGAGCGTGGTCCTTCTCCGGTCGAGCCGACCCATTCGTGCTACAACTATACCACTAATATAGCTGCATCATGACTCTACTACGTATTAATAGGATTAAGATGAATGAGTAAATATGCCATGATTTTAAGAAGAAGAAAGTAGTTGAATAACCTTTCAGTTTTATTGTGGTTTGTGGCTTATTACCAGACCGTGTAATATTTAAAACAGTATTAGTACTCACATAATTTATTTTGTTTTCAGGCAATTAAAAAAACCTGCAAAACTCTCAAGTAGGTACAAGATTAGAAATATGCCATATATTTTACAGGCAATAAAACAAGGCAGGGCGGAAAAAGTATAACCACAACAACCAGAAGACAAAATATAAAACTCCCATATTGATATACATATTAATAATTATCGACATATTGAAAATCCGATATTTTAAAAATACCAAGAGTCCTAGTTTAAACTGATCAATTGGAGTGATCAGTTGAACTAACCGATCAATTGGACTGATCAGTTGAACTGACCGTGTGTGTCGGCCATTACAAGTCAGTTATGGTGTTTGGGATGGTATGTACGAGTATGTACGATGTTATATGACGTTCATGGTTAGTTCATGCCTCGCATATCTCGAAATGTAGTGGCAGCATAAGAGAATACCCCATATCTTTGTGGGTGTCGTCATGGCTGACAGAAGGAAATAAAACAGGAGATGGGCAACAGAATCTTCCTAATAACAACTCAAAACAATAAAAAATCTGCGGTTACCAACTCGCCTGCCTTATAAAATAATACAATACTATGGCAAATATCCTCTTTATGAGACAATCTAGAGGGAGTACCTAGTTCAGCAGTGGGATTTGCCGATATTCCAGATCGAAATTCGGTCACAATCTATTTACTAGTCAGGGTTATTTGTCTGATAGTTTCGCCATCATTCTATGAAGTTCTTTACAATAGACCAAACAGTGAGGTAAAATTTATTTATTTTCTGTGTGCTTTGCTTTAGGACATTGTTCCGGTATTAACCTGGGTTCGAAAATAGCTTTTTTTGTTTGTGATTATCGTAGAGAATCTAGTTTTCATCGCACGTCACAAATTATTTCAAAATTCTTTCATTGCTGCATATCTACTCATCAAAAGCAAAGCAAGCTGCAATGAGAGTTTCTCTATGCATTCAGTACTTTCATAACGTACCCATTTCTCGCGATCCATATTAATAAATGCAAATTACTCAATTTTGTGAGTAAACTAACGTTAAATCATGATGTTAATTTCTTCGTCGTTTGATAAGGATCGGCTTCCACCATACTTTTAATTCGTAGTTATTTACCTTAGTGTTTGGTTTTCCTTGTTTCGTTGTGTTTTGTTATTAAAGTCAAAGTTTTGATTACGAAAGCGATTAAGTCAAAAACGCATAGTGCGATCGTTAGTTGCATCATTTCCAAACGTAGTAAGTACCTATATACATAGAAGTATTAGGGCTATATATTGATATTGAAACATGTATTCGACAAATACTATAGTTTTGATTTCTCCATGTTTAACTCAAATACTGAATAAAAAACAATTGAAAATCAAACAATAGAATTACATCACATTTTTCGAATTTAAAATGTTACGGTTTTTAAAAAAAAGTTTAATCGCGAATCTTGGACTTTTGGAAGGTTTGATGTTAATTTAAAATGGCAATACTTTATACTTTAAGCCCTATTAGGGGGCGGCCATTAATTATGTGAGGTGTTTAGGGGGGTGATAGGGTCGAGCTGAATCTTACGTTCTCACCCCCCGTTTACACTCTCGCGCGAGCGGCGAGGCGAGTCGCGAGGCGAGCCACGAGGCGCGAGTGTAAACGCTAGTTCGTGGCTCGCCTCGCAGCTCGCCTCGCCTCGCACCTTGCCTCGCCTCGCCACTCGCGGCGCTCGCGTCGGAGGCGGTTTTTTGGGCACGAGGCAAAGGGCCTCGCGAAGGACTCGAGTGTGGTGTTTACACTCGCGTCTCGTTTCAATTTGTTTACGGCGCCCTTCCATGATAACATTCGAATTGCTTTTGTTTTAAAATTACAGTATTAATAAAATAATATTATTTAATCTTGCACAATAGGTACTAGCAATTTATATAAAATTATGAAACTGAAAAGGTTCTGTTTGGATGAATAGATATCATCCGTATATTCTTTATCGACGTCGTATTTTTATTAATTTCCTTCTTTTTAAAATTGTCAAGCATCGATAAATACTTATTAAGGCAAGAGCTGATGCCGCTATTATTTCGACGTCTTCCATCGTTGCTGGCTCAACGCAAACTGACCGCATCGCGAGAGTGTAAACACTAAACAGGCACTCGTTACCTCGCAACAACACGCGAGTTGCGAGGCGAGGTACGAGGCGAGGCGCGAGGCGAGAGTCTAAACGCGGTATCATAGTATTTTCCGCAAGAGACAGTGTAAAATTCCGAGAAAATTTAAGTTAAATGAAATAAAATTTTATGGTTAAATCCTACACAATAAGATGTATCGCGGTTATGCGAACTCCACAAATTATATAAAAATAATAATCAAATTATGTTTTTTTTTTTAAATAAACCCAACGCAATCAAGGACATATTTACACAAAAAATATACATTTAAAAATGACACGTGAGATTTGGGAGTGTCGTACCATATTTCATGTCATCTTAACGGGGGAGGAAGAGGGGGAGGGTAGAAAAATCGTCAAAATTGCTTTACGTAATCAATGGACGGTTCCTTATTACTATTAAACTTAAAATTAAGTTGATATTTTAATAACAAAATTAGCTCGCATACTTATTCAGTAGTACAATCGAGAAACATGTCAAAATAGCTCGAGGTTAAAGAATCGCATTGGTATTGGCTGAGCGTTACAGAAATAGCGAGGCTATGTTGTATGAATAATGCTTTTCACGTAAACTTATCTCTGATAGCTACAATAGCAATTGATTAGTCTTAGTAAAAATAAATAGATCTGATTGTGAAAATTCATCTACGTGCTTTAGTTTTCTTAAATAGCAATAAAAATTTGTAAGAATTTTCTTCAGTAAACTGAAAAAAGACCGATGTAAATGTAGGGTCGTAATCTTGACCAATTAATGATAAATAATTATCATCATCAACCCATCACAAGTCCACTGCTAAACATAGGCCTCCCCCGAGGAATGCCACAAAGCGGTGTCTTGAGCTACCTGTATCCGTCGACTTCCTGCATCTCTTAGCATGTCGTCACTCCATCCAATAATAACAATAATAAACCACCTAATAATCATTTGAAATCATTTTCAACTCGCAAGGAACTGTTGTGCGGCAGGTTTAGGTGATGTACGTGATGTTAGCCTAGCCGCTTTCAGTGTCAAGTTATTTATTATAATCGTGTACAATACCGGCACAAACAAACTTGTATTTCCTTATCTATATATTTATTTACCCTTTATTGCTTAAAACACCTTAATAAAAGGTGTTACAAAGTTATGACATTGGCTGGAAGCTTAGCCAGCTTCTTCTTCCCATTTTTTGCACATATTTCAGCCGGGTTCAGGTTCAACCTGTCATGGGTTGTGGGGTCAATTTTATATACCTTACAGTAGCTTTTTTATCTTGCATTAGGGATTTTTGGATTGTATACGTATTGGATTCCAATAACCTAAATAAACCCAATCAGTGTATACTTTAACGCACGTACACACTATTTATATTGTAAGCTCACTGGTTGTGGTGTATTTTGAATTTCTTTTTCACTGTGAATTAAAAATTCTGAATATGTACGTATTAAGACTCAACAACAAACATTTAGAAACGCTACAGAGAGAATTAAAAATATTTTTCGGCAAATATTCTGGGTAAGTATAATATATATAAGTTTGGAGCCAAAATTTATTTTTTTTTTGTTTAAGGAAGTCCATAAATTAAGACTATTACAATTTCAATGTATGTAAGGATTTATTATATTAATATTTTATTTTGCGAATTTGTTAGTTAGATGAATTGTGGCTTATTACACAATAAAGTGGTATAAATACTGGCTGCAAATATTCGCAATATGTACATTGGTTATGCAACTAAAACGTAATGATTATATACTCTTTGTATGCAACTGCATAAAATACTTTTTTATTTATAAATTTTGTTTCTTAGTCGACAACAGTATGACAAATAAAGGTATTATGTATATTTTTTAAATATAGGTATTTGTAACAATATTATTTATAAGTAATATCATTGTTGAAATCATATTTGTAAAATATACTTGTAGAAAATAATATGTAGGTACATTTTGTTGAGCGATAAACAAACAATGCACATTTCATTTATTACTCTTATTACACTTAGGGTTGCACAGAAAAAACGTTTTCTATGCAGTAAATTAGTAGTGATACGAACATATTGTAAATACGAAATTATAAATACCACATTAGAAAGTATATGCTGTATTTATATTTGACAACAATAAACACCTACGCATTTTCTGGTTTTGTTCGTTACCATATTAGTACCTAGTATCTAATAATGAAATCTAATATTATGTGAGTCTTATTTATCACAAATGTCATTATATTTGTAAATTTTTTAATATTCAATTAAATGTGACAAGAGATACCAAGAAATATAAAATTATTTTAAATTTTAAAAATCCAAGTGCTACTTCAATTTTCACTGAAGCTGTTCTGTTGCTATTTTGGAAGCAATTTTATTCATAGAAGCGCACAAAATTAACAAATTAATGTATTGTTTTTACTGACTCATATAGTTCATTAGAAAGCATTTTATCTAACCTGTTCCAAAGTAAATCGAAATTCCCAATCATTTTTAAAATATAAATTGCACTGCATAGACGTTTTTGTCAAGGGATTAACTTGAAACTCGCTTGGCTGCCAAATCATAGTGTCATACGTTACAACGAAATTGTCGATTCCTTAGCAAAACAAGCATCTACTTTCGGTACCCTCATGCATTATATAACACCTTATTTCTCTTGCGAAAATCCATCAGATGTCAGATCGGAACTCTCTTTGGAAAAAACTCAGAAGTCTATCAGTAAATATTATGCAGAACTCCAACCTGACATCCCCTCTAAACTATGGTTTTTTAAATTCAGAAACAGCTTCATACATACACACACGTACATCTGTCATATGTAGAATTAGGTTGAGACACACATGTTCACCTGTATTTTTGTCAAAACTTAAGATTAAGAATAGTTCAATTAGTGAGTGCTGCTAAGACGGAGATACAATCGATCATAAATTTTTTAACTGCCCAACCTCTCCGTTTCATTACATAATTTTCTTCCTAATAACATGCCTCGTTCTATAAATCTTAAGTGTTTACATAATGATTTCTTATATTTACGCGAACACTACACATTGAATATAACTACCTTTTTCCTGATTTTATCGCGTTTAATTAACTTATTTTATATTCCCGACGTTTCGGTTGCTTTTTTTCCCCGTGTCCCCCGTGACCATGGTTGCTAGAAAGCAACCGAAACGTCGGGAATATAAAATAAGTTAATTAAACGCGATAAAATCCGAAAAAAGTCGTTTTATTCAATCTTAAGTGTTTGTTAAATTTAGTTTACACTGCTTTTGTACAAACTTTATTAGACTTCATATCCATTAATAATATCTATTAAACTGTGGCGGCGCTGTCGTCGTGCCACAAGCGAAACACATCGAAGCCTAAATCGCACTAACAAAGTTCCGAAGTTAAAGCAGCATATATAGAATAGCTCCGAACTATCAATTGGATCGTTGGCCGTACCCGGGCTGAACACATTGCCCGGCGGGAGGTTTCCCCTTTTCCTTCCACCCGCCACAGTGGTGACCCCGACGTGATAATATAAACACGCAACCAACTACCTTCGGAAACTACAACTTAAAAACCTTCGTCATCATCCTCAAGTACCCTATTCATTCGCCCCCGAGCAGATATTGTCTGCAGTCTTCACATTCTGCAAGCCATCCAGCTTTACATAGGTTCATCGCAGCATTGGAATAATAATGCTTCCTGTTCCTTCAAGCTACTCTCTGCGCTACAGTGTTCGGCACGGCTCTGAGCCTTACTGCTCGCCTCTGCTTCACGGCACTCTCGCAGATCACTTGCCTTCTTCTCGACTCACCGCAGACTACAAGGCAATTCCTTGGCACTTGCAAATTCGTGGACATCTAGACTGCACTATCGACCTGCGGTCTGAGCCGGGGGGTGATGTGGCGGCGGTGTCGTCGCGCCACAAGCGAAACACATTGAAGCCTAAATCGCACTAACAAAGTTCCGAAGTTAAAGTAGAATATATATAGAATAGCTCCGAACTACAACCCGGAGCATTGGCCGCTCCCCGGGCAGAAAACCTTGCCCGGCGGGAGATCTCCCCCTTTCCTTCCACCGGCTACAAAACTATAGTACTTTTGCCACTTATCTATATCCATTTTATTATATTAGCGATAATTTTGTAAAACTATTATATGTTAATTCATTTGAAAATAACTACCTATGTAACTTCATAAAATAGAGTTAAGTAAGCGTATCTACGAAAACGGAAACTAGTCGAATACACTGTATGACTTACATGAAATACTTGACGCTGGCAGTATCCATTGGAAGATGCCAAAGTGGGAAAAAATATGTGACGTGTGATTTTTTAAACAGAAAATGCTGCGATTGCTGATCGGATGCCTCATAAGGCCAGAAATTTAGCAATACATCTTGTGAGCCAAGTCTTAGATGATGCTTGTATAATTTTAAATGAAGCCACAGAATTAGGTAAGATTTTTCTTTATTCTTATGTAATTGAAGTGTCACACGAACTGACAGTCCATCTGATGATAAGTGGCCACTGCGGCCAGTGAGCGCAAACATTTATATACGTTCATTGTCTGCATTCCATGGACAACTGCAACAAATTTCCAACAGAGAAGGCTATGCTAAGTTAAGTTGTCACCGTTGCAGATTAACAAGGAATATTTCAAAGGTTCGCTTTGTTCTGTTGTTCTTTGTTCTTTTTTTTAAACAAAACGTTACCCCCACACTAGGATATTCTCTAACTGTGTCGTGGAGGCAGTTTACAAACATAAATTGCACGAGGACAAACATCCAGACCCGGAACAATTATTTGTAGGCCATAAAAATACTTGTTCCGTGCGGGATTCGAACCCGCAGCACCCATCGCAACAACTCATTGCTAAGCCACTGCGCCACGGAGCCGTTAAGCCGTCCTTTAGACCCAGATACAGCAGTGTATGTACTGCCACAGAGTAAAGGTACTGCTCTTTGGCGACGGAAATAGGTGAGAGGCTGGTACCTACCCAGACGGACTCCTGAGCAAAATAGTTCTACCACCTAGTAAATTTTATATCTTTTTAAATTATCTCTACTTTTATGACGTTGTGCTCCTGACGAGTTAAGTTATCAGCAGCGATGGAACACGGGTAAAGTCAAAATACTTGTTCAAATATCTGAAAAAGCTTTATTTTCTTGCATTTACTTGGATAATTATTTGCCCTATCCCTGGACCTGTAAATCTGAAGTTAGGCTGCCTTCTCAGCTTTGCGGCTGTCCAAATTCTATTGTTAAAGAGCCGCTTTACATTTTTTTAACTTTTAAATTACTTATTTTGTACAGGACAATCATGGCGCTGTATGTCAAAATTAAATGGAGATAACAATAGTAAATGTATGATTGATAATGAACACTCAACTTTTATTGTGGAGATGGGCGACAACGATGACGTTAACAAAATACATGGACCGAATGCAATGACCACGTCCACGCCGCAAAAGGTTACTGGTCAGGTATACGAAATCAAAGGTAAAAAATTGATAGAAATATAATCATGATAAATTTGTTTACTTCTTTGATTCACCAACACACACACCAGCATAACTATGTGCATATTCAATAATAAGTAAACCACATGCTTAGTATTCACAGCATTTCTTATAAATTTGAAACTGTTAAATATACATAAATATATTAATATGAAAAAATACTAACACATATATTAATAAAAGGATCAATTTTGTGCCGAAAATCATTAAAAGAGTAATTTTGGATGGATTTTAGATATCTGTTACATTATTATACCCATTTAAAAGTCTGCAAAGTCTTAGAGTTTAGATATTTTAGTTATTATTATATATAGTTCTAAAGGGGCGGCGAAAAAGAAGTACTGAATTTTCAAAGATATGAAGTTAGTGTACAAATCAGCTGTTGTGTAACTAAATATTTTTGCAGATGAAATTAAAACAACTACAAAAGCTGATGCATGTTTAATAGGACAAGGAGACGAAGATATTCATTCCGTAAGTTTCTATTCACTGATGACGCTAAATTATTGCTAAAAACTAAATTATAAATTTAAGTTTCCTTTAGGAGGGAGATATATTTCAAGACTTAAGTGGTTTAAGAAAATCTACATCTACATTTATAAATCGTTTATTTGACATGAGTGACGTCGAATATATCCATGATGATTCGGATTTAGCTCAGAACAATTTAAGTACTAATGAATCACTAACGGAAGATATTATTAAAATTGTGGAGTTATGTGTAGAATCCGCTCTCAACTCCGACATTTATGTCCAGAATACTCCGCAGAATACTATACTTGATGAAAGCGTAGAGAAGTCGCCGAATAGTAACCATTCCAGCTATTCCTTTCTTGACGATGCTTTCTCAAATAATGTTGATAAAAATATAGCATTTTATATCGATGGTGATGTTGCTACAAATAGCAAAATTGATATTAATTATTATAAATATAATGCTTACGAAAATACTGAGGTAATGTTTCAGATATATTTATTAAAAGCTAATAATAATGTTTATCTGTTCAAAATATTAATAATTATAAATATACCAGCGCCTTATATTTTCGGAACTGTTGCAGACTAATGTGAACGTAAACGAAACTATTCAAAGAAATGTCGCATTATATGAAAATGCCTATGCCACATTAAATAGTAAGCGTTGTTATCAATTATTACATGTATATATTTATTACGTGTTTTAATATTTTTCATTTAATATTGAACCTTTTAAAGGAGATTATGAGCAATATTCCGATGAGGAAGACTTTGTACACCAGGATTCAAAATCTTTAGCATTACAAGAAGTAGAATTGTCTGCTAAGAATACATCGCCAGTTGAGTTGCCGACGTGTGACAATGTATGTAGTACGTAATACGTATTTTGTGACACGATAGTTTTATTCTCCCACATAAAGTGTTAAATTTATAATTATTTATAGTATATTTAAAAATATTTAATCAGTTTTACATACATCTTCTTTTTTATCAGCCCTTATAAGTCTACTACTGGATTTGAGTTTCTCCCATCGTAAAGAACTTTTGCCATTCATTATTGAAATATTTGAATTTAAGTTTAAAATTTAATGTCAGGTAATTCTTTGAAAAATAACCCTTTATTACCTGACATTATAGATGTTTAAATTAAATTATTGTTTATTACTTAGGAATGCAAAGAGCTAGCTGCTACTTCAGCGGTGTCAGCTTCGGTAGTATCTCGTAAGAGCGGTCTGGTTAAACGGTGCCGTCTGCAGGGCGCGAGACTTTTATCCTGTTTACGAGGTTGGTGGTGGCGTCGCAAACTGCCGGGAGGACGCAAAGTGAGGCCACAATTGTTCTATATTTAACTAGAAAACCATGCTTTTAAGGGCCGATTTTTCTATCCTCAGATGAAATGTATTCATCATATGATAAAACACAAAATGAACAAAATAAAAATTAATGTTGTATGAATAAAATAGATTAGTTGTCTCATTTTTATATTCAGTCAAGCTATAATTTATTTGATATATAACTTTTAACTGACGAATGACAAATCAAAGCCAACAATCCCTAAACTAATTACTTTATGACTATATGCGTTATTGTGAGATGACAAACTTTACCGTGTTTTTGAAATGCAAGTATACAATTTTTTTCTCAGACATGCAGGTTTCTTCATGACGTTTTCCTTCGGTGATAACGGATATTTTTAACAAAATCCGCGCATTCAACCAGAGTGGAATTCGCGTAGTTTACGTATTATGAAATTCAAGACAAGCGTTCGGCCTTTGCTGCTGTAATGTGGTAGTTAAATCGCACAAGGAAACTAATAGAATAAGAAAAAAATTCTACTTGAACGTTTTTTATAGTTTACTTCAAGCTATATTTAATAAAAAGAAAGTTATTTAAGTTGGACCATAAAATATTTTCGTAGACTTGGTAAGCTGCTTTTTTAGCTGAAGAGGTGTGCCTTTATGAGATGTTCTTTTAAAACTGGCTTGGATACACGAAGTAGACGGGCTTTTATTGAAATTTATCATATTTTTTCGGAAATGTAAATACAGTTGTACTTCTTCACCTCGTAAATTTATCTCTTTATTCTCAGCGTTCAATAACTTTATATTGATAGCACTTATGGGACTTTGGTTAACAGGAAAATAAATCAAGTTTCTGGGTATTTCAATTATTCGATAACCAGGTGGTACATTAGGTGCAAATTCAAAAATTATATGGCTTGCTTTCCCATTGACAAATGAACCACTAACTACATCGCATTCAATCCGCACGATGGTTGTCGATAGAATACTGACAGGATACAGTATAGTTTTGGCATGGCAAGGTAACAGCAACCTACTACTGTTACATTCGTCTTAAGGAAATCGAAGAAGTACCTATTATAATTTAAGCTACTACATTTAACATTGTATATACGAGAAATTATAATAAAAATTAACTATATTTAAACTAAATTAATGCTTATTGTTATATATATATATATATATTGTTTCACTACTCATTTGCAGGGATTGGCCAAAAACATATAATGTGTTATACTTAATATTACAAATGCATGCAATATAACTGTTAATGAGTGTGTCATTTTACTCGATTATTTTTGTACCAAAATAAATCTAAATACCCTTTAACAACCAAAAATTTTATCTATTGAACTTAATTGCTTGAGTAATTTTTTTTCTGAGCGTGTTAGTTATAAGCATTAAAAATTCACTGACCAATTTACAAGATCTTCGGATCTGAGAAGCCAGACACCATTCTTTCAAATAGGTCGTCTAAGAGATTTAAAAAAAAATAGTTTGTAACATGTTGGTAATAAGAAGACTATTCCAATTACTGTATACGATTAAAAATATTCGACAGGAACCCCGTATACCTGGTGCTTTACGGGGTCAATATCCCCTCTCACCTTCTACGAGAGTTCGTGCAGCCAGCTTGCTGGATCACCGTCGCATTCTCTCTCCATCACTTTCCCGCTCTAACGTCTGGAAGTTCAACACTATCAACGAGACTGTGGTCAATTCAGCACATTTGAAGGAATACGCTTTTGAGAAGCTTGAATGTAATGAATATTAACGTGTTCACACTATTTTAAAACAAATTGTCTTCTTCGAATTAATAAACGTTTATGAAAATACGCTGGCAATTTTATTTTGTAGCTTTCAAATGCTTAATCTATACCTATAAGTAAAATTGAGGTGTCTGTCTGTACTATTGAAATAACTGGCTTCTATTGCCCTCCGGGGTTTATTTGCATGTTTGCATGCTATTAAAACTTAAATAATAATTTTTAAAATGGCTTCGGAATGGCTGAGCCTTAGATTATTCATAAGCTAGCTTGTTTATGGATGCTCGAAAGGCTGAAGCTGATCCGATTGTAATGAACTTCACGAATACATAGAGAGAAATGTCGTAAGTGATCTAGGCTATGTTTTAACCGACTTCAAAAAGAAGGAGATACTCAATTCGATTGTATTTTTTTATGTGTTACCTCATAACTTTTTTCTAGATGAACCTATGTTGATGATTCTTTTTTATTTGAAAGCTGGTGGTTCTCATGTGATCCCATATAAATCTGACCAAGGTCTGACTAGTAGTTTTTGAGATATCCTTAATAATTTATATTGAAGTCGGTTGTACAAATTTTTAATTTTACCACTTGTATTCAAATAACTTTGAGATTTAAAAAGAAACGAAAAATTTATAAAATAAATGGTATTTTATTATCTTAAATGTGAGTAACGCCACATTAATAGATCCTGCCCGGGAGCATACGGGGCGGGTCGTTACTTCTACAAGAAGATCGTTGCATCGTTATGATCAGGACAGTGATGATTACCTATGAGTTAATCTAATAATATTAGGTCCTTACATATGAAATTAGCGCTTTGTCGTACTGACTACTTTGATCTGAAATATCTCCTCTTTGGTTAAGAATTCCAAATTCAAATTTATAAATTCATTTAGCTGGTATATTTGAGTTTTGAAAACAGTAATTCCTTTGTTTTTTCCTCATTGTTTTTTCTTTGGCGTCGCTTATTACCACACAATGGAAAACATGAAATATCGGTATATTTACGAGTACGAGTTCTACCGTGGCACCAGTGCTGCAGAAACAGCTCGAAGGATTAATGATGTGTACGGCGCTGGTGTCGCAACAGAAAGCACGGTACGTTTTTGGTTTCAACGTTTTCGTTCTGGAAATTTCGACCTTCAGAACCAACCCCGTGGACGGCCGGAGACCAAAGTGGAAAATGAAGAATTAAAGGCTATTGTGGAAGCGGATTCATCACAAAGCACTTCAGAGATAGCTGCAGGCTTTGGGGTAAGTGATAAAACTGTATTAATCCACTTGAAGCAAATCGGGAAAGTAAAAAAACTTGAACGATGGGTACCTCATCATGAATTGAGTGAATCGAACTTGCAAACACGCATTGACTGCTGTGTTACAACCGACACAATAATAAAGGGATTTTAAATCGAATCGTTACTTGTGATGAAAAGTGGATACTGTTCGATAATCAGAAGCGCTCGTCGCAATGGCTGAACCCTGGCAGCCAAATCCTGCCCTAAACGAAAATTGACCCAGAAAAAGTTACTTGTCAGTGTTTGGTGGACTAGCGCTGGTGTCGTTCGTTACAGCTTTCTAAAATCTGGCCAAACGATTACGGCAGATATCTATTGGCTTCAACTGCAAACCATGAAGGAAGAACTAGCTGCTAAACAACCGAGATTGGTCAATCGCTCTAGGCCACTGCTGTTTCACGACAATGCAAGACCACACACTGCACAACAAACAACCACTAAGTTAGATGAGCTACAATTGGAATGTCTGGGACATTCACCGTGCTCCCCGGACCTTGCTCGAACAGAGTACCATTTTTTCCGGTATTTGGGCAACTTCTTACAAGGAAAAAAATTCAACTCCGACGCGGCAGTCTAAACCGCCTTCAAAGAGTTTATTGATTCTTGCCCCTCATGGTATTTTTTAGTAAAGGGATCAATGAACTACCTATGAGATGGCAAAAGTCTGCCAAATTGATTAAGTAAATAAAATATATTTTACAAAAAAAAACTTAATATTCCTCCCGTACAAAACGCCAATTTCATATGTAAGGACCTAATATTATTATTTACCTAGCTCTGCGCTAAATGTGTTAAAAGAGTATAATCATTGGTTAAGTTATTTGGTTTTTAACAATCAGGATAAAAGCTTTATTAGGACAAATAAGTGAAAAGATAAGAAATAATTTTAATTGGGAGGGTAATTATAACAGGTTTTATTTTTTTCTTGTTTTATATTACATCGGTTTTTTTTTTTATAGGATAAGGGTGACAAACGAGCACACAGTCCATCTGATGGTAAGTGGTTGCTGCGGCCCATAGACATCCACATCCATCCTCGCTCGCGAATCAAAATGCAGATGCGCTGCCACCCGCGAGGACCAAGATGGAATGCGTCATTTCCAGTAAAAAAGGCCTCCGGCCACCTGCACTCACCAAGCGAAACGCAGAGGTAAACCTCTACTTCACGCTGGTATTCTGTGAGGTCGTGGTACCACCCCGGTTCGAGCCGGCCCATCCGTGCGACAGCAAAAGCTGCCGCGTGGCTCTACCACTGTTAAATCATCGGTATCGAGTTAACAATATAAGACCCTATATGTAGTAGTTCCATTAGATAGAAAAGATAAATATAAATTGGCATACTGCGAGTAACCTTATGTGTTATATAAATAATATTAAAGAAGAATCATTAAAATGGAATCTGCCGTTTCTGAGAAATCGGTGAATTTAAATAAAGAACATATATATACTTTGAATATAAAACCTCCTCGTTTTTGAACTCGGTTAATAAAGTAAAATAATGCTTACCTACATTATAAATTGTTGTAGATTAGTGGTTAGACATACAAAATAGTGGTTCGGAAGTGACAGCCAACGTGTAGGGCGGCTTAGATGGATCTACGACCTGGTAAGACATGTAGGAAGTCGATGGATACAGGTGCTTAGGACCATGTTTTTGTCGTTGATGATGATCATGTACACCTTCCATACATTTATAGGTATATAATCAGTGCCATATTCAAATTCGTAGAGCATAGGAATTATTAGTAAGCGGCTAAGAATAGGCATCGAATCTTTTCCTTTACCATAGAAGAGCACTAATTGAATCGGTAATTAATTTCGTAAATCTCTCGAAGCTAACGAAGAAGAAATGAAAGGACATACATTTTCAGTTTTGATGTTCGAAATAAAAGTTTGACTAAAGTTATTTACGATTTTTACTTTTATGTCGTTCAATGAGATTGGCAAAAAAAATTATAAAAGAAATGTTTAATATTAAAGTTAGTTAATGTAAAGACTCGTTGGAAGTTACACCTATAAACCAATACCTGATGCCACCTTACATTCGAGATTATATACGGAACAGATCGAAATAGTTAACGCAAATGTAGATTTAACATTCAGATACGCTTCAGTTGTTGTTCGATGATGGGATGTCAAAAAGCTTTTCGTCTCATTTACTCTCATGGAAATCTTTGGCGTCCTAAGACGCAACGGAGACGAAGTAACTCTACCGAAAATAGAACGGTCGCAGATTCCTGGGCTAAATCTCAAATATCCAGACGGGAGCGCCATCTGAGCCAGTTAAAACAGTCAAGCGAAAAGTTTCGGAGCCCCACTTCTTGTCTAAACGTCTGCCAGTGAAGACCGGGAGGGAACCAACTAACACCACAAAAATGGTGAGTCATCTTTGACGCCAGTGCAACTGTGAAAAGGAGTTCAGTGCTAAAAGCATCGTTACTTAATACAAGTGATATATCTCGCTCAATTGTTCAATGATATATATACCGCGTTAAAAACTCGTGATACAAAATTCCGCAGACCGGAGGCTCGCGAGAGTCGGGCTTAGAATATCTTATAAACCAGTGAAGTGCTTAAAGGACTGTGAAAGAATATGGTATTACATTCTCTGGATTAATTCTATACATACACACACCTGCAGTGACCTTTCAGAACACTAACTAATCATCACACACCATCTGTAATATCGTTACAATTGTAACATGCGAATAACGAAATATTTTAATCATTTTTCAGAGCGACCTCAGCAAGAACGACATTGAAAGTGAGTATTAAATTTCTCTCTTTAAATAATTTAATTAATTTGACATATGAAACATGAATGAAACGGAGGCGTGTAATTTTTATTTATAAAACTAATCAGATGAAATGTTCCACCGAAGAAAAATATTACATTTTGTTCAAATGATTCCATCCATAACTATTTCTCAATTGTGACAAGTTTTCAAATATTATCTAAAGTTACGTAAAACATTCTTCTTTGTTATAAGATATAAATTGAGAAGTAAGCACGGTTTAGAAATTTCTGTGCATAGCTTAAAGTTAGGTAAAATGTTCGCGTTGCTCAGAGATGACGGTTCATCGCGGCTGTACCGAGCGCGCTATTCCAAAATTAAACTGTTGCGTCACGTGATCCAATACCCGCCCGCCCAAACAGAGAAACTGCTCAGATTTCAGTGCGAGCGCGCTTACCGATTTTTGGCAAACGTTCGTGTAGTGTCGATAATGATAATGGAAACTCCATTATGCTTTATTTACTTATTTTTTCGCAACTTATAATTAATTGGTCAATATCAAGGTCAATTTTAGATGCATTAATTTTATAATAAGGTCACTGATAGTTGTAACAAGTGGTCTTTCTTATTTGTACTTAATTTAGTAAAATATAGGTATAGGTACCTTTAATTTTTCGAGACTTGATGGATTTATTTCAAAACTCATGTGACCAGTTAAATTTATTTATGTTACTTGTTATAAAAGTTTTTAACCGAGAGAAATATTTTTAGTATGACGTTTTGCACCTGATTAAAAAGGGGACACAGACACAATCTGGAAAATATAAATAGATTGTGACTCACGAATTTGCTGTGAGTATATTGAAACATTAGGAAAGGATAATAATTTCTACTCTCCTCTGCTCTGGACTCGCCTACGCCAGCTCGCGTCGTACTTGATTTAATTGCCGTGATTTTTCGAAAATATTTTTGCTG